AAACCCTGTTCTGATCCTACCTTTTTCTAGCCAAGTCCCTGCAAACATATGGCTCAATTTCCCCAAATCTCATCACTCCATAATCTGCAATGGGAGTTAGCCCCCCAGCTATCTGCTGAGCTTTAGCACTGAGCTCTTTAGCCCTGATTTCCCTACACGATTTTTGTTCTATCTCCAGGAAGCACAACGTGAATAAAAGACTGAGGTCCTTCTCTGGGATAGTCCCAGAGAAGTGAAGTTGAAGGATAATGTGGTATGCAAAAAATTCCCCTTGTGAAATTAGTCAAACACACATGGTATACATATTCTCCTGGGTACAAAACATTTACATTAATGTCAGCAATGGAACCCAAAACATTGGTAGACCAAATTCTAATGTGACAATTTAAAAGAAGATAGTGCTTCGCCAGGTTAATAAATCAGAATTGAGACAATACTTTAAATGCCACATCATTAAAAACTCCTAGTAGGCATGTCCCTCTTATCAGTTACTTTTAAAATAATGGTCATAACAGGAGAAAGAGCAAGCACCATGCTCACTGCTGGTTACTGGACTGCTTTGATTAAGCACTGCAGTTCACAGATAAACACTTCACATCTTCCCTTCAAGTTACTGAATCTTTCTTTTTCCGGAATGGTGATTTTAGCTCTTCCATACACTGTTTTTAGGCTTTGATTTTTCTCTATGGCCAGTACTGCCTCCTTTTCTTTTCTACGTATCTCCGCGACAAGGCATGGAACACATCATCAATGTAGTAGCGGTATGCAGCAGATGTCTCAAAAAAGGGACAGCTGAATTCTCGGGCCAAAGCCAATCCTTCTTCCTTGGTGACCTTTAAAAGCATAAACATGAGAAAATTTATAGTGGTAACAGTGAAAAACAATTACAACTTTCCCAAAGAGTGAATGAACTACCTTAACAGAAAAAGAGCTCCTTGAGTGTGGAGGTGCTCAAGCAGATAGCAGTGATTTTTGTCATTCTGGGAGGTCGGATTATATGACTTCCAATAGCAAATTAGTAGATACAGAGAATTGTCAAGGTTAAAGAGAAGGTAATTTTTATTTTCTATTTTGAGACAAAAGAATCTGTAAACCAAGAAACAACAACGACTAATCCCACAAGATTATAGGTGGCATATTATTCTCCATCCTCACCTGTCTTAGCTCTTTTAGGTCAGACTTGTTTCCCACAAGAACCACAGGTGTATCATCAGTACGTCGAACTCGATAAATAAGCTGTTTAAACTCACGAACTTCATGGAAACTTCGACGATCAGTGATAGAATAACAGATGATAAACCCTTCTCCTGCCCTCATAACTGGTCTCGCATGGCTGTAAACTCTGCCTAGAGGGATACAAGAGTCATTAATGTATTGATGCAATCTAGAACTACCAACACGTTAGCTATTTATTTCAGATAAAGAAGAGGTATGTTGATTACCTGCTATCCTGAGTCAGAGTGCATGAAAAATTAAGAGAGAAACTAATGATCTTCTCTGCATAAGCCTTCCCCTCCCTTTTACTAGAGTAAAAATACTTTTACTCATAACATTCTGGGATTTAATACCTGTCCAGCTGTATCCAAAATGTCCAGATTGGCAGGCTCATCATCAATACGGATCCGGATCTTATAACATCTTCTACAGGAGAGAAGAAAAGTGTACTATAAACGCATAAATGCAGGAAGAAATACCTATTATAAAACTCATCTTATGGAGAAATAGAGTCCACCCAAGTCTAAGTAACTCAAATTTTCTCAGGATGCATGCTAAATCCATTTTAGACATATAAACTGAGTCTTGAACTACTGTTTTTTCACATAGGTGATGTTGTAATTATTTTCATAACCTAAATTAGAAGAATTCATCTACAATTCTGAGCTAAAACAGGATTCTGAGAGGTTTTTAAAAAATATTAGGCCAAAAAAGTAATTTTACCATTTATTAAACAGTTACTACCTGCCAGGCATTATCCTAAGTATTAATAATTTATATACATTAATTCGCTTAATAGTCACAATAATCTGACGAAACAGGCAATATTATCTTCATTTTACAGATAAAGAAAATTAAACTCTAAAACATTAATGTCTTCTCTAACTTGCAATTAATTAGTGATAGAACCAGGATTAAAACCCAAGGCTGGGCCGGGGCAGTGACTCCCACCTATTATCCTAGCACTTTGGGAGGCTGAGGCGGAAGGATCGCTTGAGGCCAGGAGTTCAAGACTACACTGAGCAAGAGCAAGACCTCTCTTACTAAAAATAGAAAAATAAAGCCGGGTGTGGTAGGGGGCACCCATAGTTCCAGCTATTTGGCAGGGGATCATTGAGCCCAGGAGTCTGAGGTTGCAGTGAGCTATGATAACACCACTGCACTCACTGTAGCCCAGGCAACAGAGCAAGACCCTGTCTCAAAAACAAACAAACAAAAAACCAACCCCCCTCAAAAAAAACCTAAAACAGGGCTGTTGGATCCAAAAGCCTTATATACTTAATCATATGCTATAGTTCCATTAAAATGTAATACTACAGAAAAAAAAAAACCATAATTTACTTTACTATTTTCTAAATAATCCAGGTTGTCATAATTTCTCCTTTATGAAAGCAAAATTTATTTTCTGTATATTACTAGAGTAACCTTGGACCGTAACAGAAAAAAGAAAACCTACTAAATATTTCTATCACTCAAAAGCTGCTGCTTATATCTCAATATATTTCCTTTTAACATTTTTCTTGAATTCTTGCTTCTGACTCTTCCTTAAAGATAAGAGCCCACTAAATCAATGTTTCTCAAATTACAGGTCATGATCCATTAGGATTTGTGTTGTGAAATCAATTTAAGTGGTTAGGACCAGCCTTAAAATAAATAAGCAGAAACCTAAATGAAAACAGAAATTATCAGAGTGCACCAGATATAAATGTAGTAAATACAGTTTCATGAATTTTAGTTACACATACATATGTGCTTTTGTGTATAATTTATACATGCATACATACATAACTTATTTACTTTCATACTGATATTTATACTGTTTATAATGTAAAATTTTCTTAGAATTTGCAGCCAAAGTTTGGAAACAAATGCACTAAATTGTAAACTCAATAGCAACAGACACTATATCTTTCTGCTCATCTCTGTACCCTAAAACTTACTGCTGTGCTTGGTACATAACAGGAACTCAAGAGAACTTATGAGTACCCGCTGTTGAATCACACAATATTGTCAGGAGAGTAGATAACTGGGGGGGAAAATGATTGATTAAAAAAAGTAACTCTTAGAGGGGACAGCTATTTTAGTTTTACTTTAAAGAAAGGAAAAGATGTTTCTGGAGTTCTCAAGTGATATTTCCTAAGCCCTAACTGATTTTATTCTTAGAACTCCCACCACCATAGTTTTTAATCCCTAAACAATGTTTCAAATTTATATAGTACATGAAAAAAACAATAACTGTTCTATTTTCCCCAGTCCCTGGAAGCATCTACTGTATAAAATGACCACATCCAAAGTTGGGCTACCACAGAACACTCATTGGCTTTGTGGAAAACAGAGCAGCAGAGGCCTGACCCAACAGAAATCCTTCCTAGAGACCTAGAATCATGGCAAAAAGTGTCACATACTGAAAATAACAGTAGTATGGCAGACCTTCTGTGCCCTTCCCCATCTCCATCCCAACCCATTTTCCTTTTCTTTTTCTTTTGGAGGCAGGCTCTCACTCATTGCCTAGGCTAGAGTGTAGTGTTATCATCATAGCTCATTGCAACCTCAAACTCCTGGGCTCAAGCAATCCTCCGACCTCAGCCTCCCAAGTAGCTGGCACTACAGGTGCATATCACCATGCCTAGCTAATTTTTAATTTCTTTGTAGAGACAGGGTCTTCCTATATTGCCCAGACTGATCTTGAACTCCTGGCCTCAAGCCATCCTCCTGACTTGGCCTCCCAAAGTGCTAAGAGTGTGAGCCACTGTGCCGCCTCCATTTTTCTAATAGGATATAATCTCTTAAAATTAAATCTCCTTCCTTATTGTTTAGGAATGACAGGAATGGGCCGGGCGTGGTGGCTCACACGTGTAATCCTAGCACTTTGGGAGGCTGAGGTTGGCGGATTGCTCGAGGTCAGGAGTTTGAAACCAGCCTGAGCAAGAGCAAGACCCCGTCTCTATTATAAATAGAAATAAATTAATTGGCCAACTAATATATATAGAAAAAATTAGCCAGGCATGGGGGCGCATGCCTATAGTTCCAGCTACTCGGGGAGGCTGAGGCAGGAGGATTGCTTGAACCCAGAGTTTGAGGTTGCTGTGAGCTAGGCTGATGCCATGGCACTCACTCTAGCCTGGGCAACAAAGTGAGACTCTGTCTCAAAAAAAAAAAAAAAAGGCAAAGCAAACAGAATGACTTTTTTGAGTAAAAAAAAGCATTCTGCCAACAATAGGTAAGGAGTACAGAAGACATGGCAGAAGACATCACTATATAATGAACTTCAAGTATAAGGAAGTAAATGAAGGGCTTCAAGTGGAAGAAGTCCAGGCTCTGCACATCTGGGTTGTAAGAGTTCAGCAGGCTGGCTCTACTTGTTTTTCTGCTTCCTTTTGTGGAAGTTCAAACTAGCTGACTCATAGTTACAGAGTCAGTCTCAAGTCAGACCCTAAGAGAAGTGACAGCAAGAAAAGACTTCGTAAGTGGCCTTTAAGTTTTTCCTTTAATCTGGCAATACAGTATACCAACCATAAAAAAATACAACAAAGAAAGTTGTTCCATAAATGTTCAATGTAAGACAGAGACTAAAGATGGCTTCTGTACATATAGAGTTAAGTGTGGAAAAAAGAAATATTCAGTTGTTTACCAACTGCTATGAGACTCTAGTTTCTAAATAAATTTGAATTAGATTCAAAAAAGGGCTCAAAGTATAAACAATTAGAAACTGTTTTTAAAAACTGACATTCACTAAGATAATTTTATGGAGTGCATTTGAAAACCTAAGCGATGATCTGACTTACCAATGGTGGGGTCATGATCTTCTGGGAATCGGTGACTGATGAACTGCATGGTCATGGCTTCAAGCAAGAAATGAAAGTTAAAATCCTGAGGAAGGTGACCCACAGAAAGAATTCTAAGTATCAACATTGCACAACAGCCAGTATCCCATCTGGTTTGGGTAGGGGTCATGTATTACAAGTATTTTTCATCCTCACTTCTTGTCAAATGGTAAATGTCACCTACCACTCTTCCCCACACCACCAGCACCCAGCATCACTAGTTTGTATTCCCGTGAGAGCCCTGCAGTGCTGCTACAGCAGCTACCAACTGGGCGAGTTCCAGAATCCATTGTCCTCTTGGGGAACCTTGGGCTGCCTGAGTAAAAGCCACCTAGAAAGGAAGGAGGAAAAATTTAATCCAGGATGGAGACACCATGACGGCAGTCCTAGAGCCACTGACTTACCTTGCAATACATACTCTGGCCTATTACTCTTGCTCACTACTGTACCCTTTCTGAAAGCTCTAAGAAACCCCGCATCCTCATGCTGACTGAACTCCCGAGCAGTTCAGTCCTAGGACACATCACAGATTTTCCAATTTACAAGTTTTTTCAAAAAGAAAAATAGACAAAGAAATTCAGAATTTCTTTTTCAGCCAGGGGTACCAGCACAGTAAGGAGGAGCCCCTTAGGCCGCATTAGTCCTCTCACGTCCGCTGCACCCCACCCCCCCAGGTTTCTCCCTCCCCACTCTCGAGACCCCTCCCCGCCCCTGGCCGCTCCTCCGCCCGCCATCATGCCGCCCACCCCCCAGCCTCACAAGCTGATCCCCTGCTGCTCATACCCGTCGGGTCGGGAAGGCGACCGCCTGTCCGATGATCACCAACTTTGTCTTCCTTCACTGACGGCGGCGAGGCTCCAGCACTGACCTGTGACCCCTCCCGCGGCCGGGTAAGATGGCGCCACTGGCGCCTGAATCCCGACGGGAGGGGCGGAGCCGCCAGTGACGCCCACGGCCAGCGCCGCCCCGAGGGGGCGGGACACCTCCTCTTCCAGGTCCCCAAACCAAATCCAGCAACTCTCCACTGAAGGCCCTCCCTCTGGTCACGTAACCATACTTAAGGTATACACACACATACAAGAGTGTTAAGTCCTGAGTACAAAGTAAATTATTTTGACAAAAGTCGAGAGAAAGTATGAGATACGCGGGGGCCTCTAAAATGAGTAACAACTTACTCTGTGCTATTTGCTGCTTGTGGGAAAAAAAAAATTGGGGGCCAAACAAAGAAACAGTGAGGAAAGAGTCACACCCCCCTCATCCTCCTAAAACAGGACTGTGATCAAGTTTACCGAAGATAACTGCTTCATAGCAGAAAAAGCACTTTCCCAAAAGAGGAGCTACATTGACTTGGGCTCTCAAAATAAAGATTAATTCTCAAGGACATGTTTACAAGACTTCAGTTCCTAGAGTTTTGTATGTGTTTTAAAGATATATTAGATATACATAAAACTTGGCATCCAACGTGTAAAAAAAAATGAAAATATTTAAATCTATTATTTTTAAAAATATTAGATACACAAAAATTAGGATTTTTGTTTTAAACAAATGCACTATTATTCTCCAGCAGCAAAAGGTAAATCTCAGGATCTCATAAGTGGCCTTGAATTAAATACAGCAATAACTGAAGGTACTATATAATCATATTTGCCTCTGTTTAGGTAGCACACAAACTAGGAATGAACTTTATACTAGGAAATTTTTCTTATGCAACCTCTGCCCACCACTCTTCCTTTTAAAGAATGTCTTTCCATGAATAACTTATATTTCCTTTAAAATCTGTTTCGTTCACCACTATATAAAGGACTAAAATATGAAAATGGAAAATATCCAGCATAATCATCTTCAGAATTTTCATCTGGACTTTAAGGGTACACTTTACAATGATAAAACTCTTGGAACTATATGCAAACTTTGGGGTCTGTATGTAATTTTTCTGCTATTGTAATTGCATTATGGAGATGGGTTGTGGTAGAAAAACAGAAACGGCAAACAGAATATTTATACATTTATTTATAATGAAATTATGGTCTAAATATTTACAACATATAGGAAACCAGAGGATAAGTTTATACAAAGCCAGCCTGCGAAGTATTCAAATGTGCAAAAATGACAGTTCAGTATCTCAAACTACTATTGGTTCAGCAGACTAGCTCCTTCACTTTCACACATCAATATTTGATACAAAAAGTTCTTTTGGCAAAACCTGTAATGCCAAGAAAAAGGACAAGTTGCAATTTCAGTCACTAAGTCCACCATCCTATTGCAAGTAGTCAGATCTCTCGTTTTAGCTGCAACCAGTTCTAGGAGAAACAGACTACTGTGTTTCATTTCTGTGAGGAGTTCTGACCAGTTTTAGTCAAGTAGTTTTCTCTGACCCAGCTGAAGACAAGGAGCTTAGAAGGGCAATAAAAACAGCAATGGCTATCTGAGACAAATGTTCCTGAAGGTAAATAGCTTCATTTTCCTATCCCGGATCCAGCTATATCCAAGTTTTAAAAGTTAGTAAAATGGCATCTTCCGAAACAGAAAGAATCCAAAATGAAATAGGGATAAGGATCTCTTAAAATTAAGTACTGAAAAAAAAAGGATGGTCTTAAAATCATTTCCCCACTAATAAATAGTAAGGCTTTGTCTGTAACCAGTTATTATCAAAATTGACCAAACAGTAGTAAAATACAAATAAAACTTTCTTTACGTCAGAGTTGGGGCTGGTCATTTGGAAAAGGCTGGATCAGGTAAAATGTATACGGAAATGACCTTGTTAGGATGCTTTGTTGGACAAGCACATTTCACCAACTGTTAAAAAGCTTCCGAGACAAATTTGTGATTCTAAGTAAATTTTGACAGATGCTATGCCACTGCAGAAATAAGGATGTTTTAAAAAGAATAAGGATGTCCCTTTAAGAAAGGGACACTGCATCTCTAACTTCTGCACAGGTCCAAGATGGTTCCCAGTACAGGCCCCCGAGTCTTGTTAAATCAAATGCATGCATTATTGCTAAGAAGAGTCACCGAAGGTCAAAACTCTGTTCCACTGTGTCCTATGGGGCCATCCAGAAGGGCATCTGTTGTTTAGCTCGTGGTTGTGATGAAGGGTATTGATATCCCAAACTCCAGCCCTGTGGAAAACTACTTGCATTTTTATGACCTCCATGTTCCTCCTCTTCATCAGATGAATCTGCAGCATAAGCGACCAAGCCAAATCCCTTCTCTGTAGTTTTCATCTTCTTTGCTGGATAATCTAGAATAGAGAAAAACAACCCCAACCCCATTCCCCACCAAGAAAAAAAAAAAAAAAGATAATACCATAAATTCGTTAATAAAAAAAAGATGTTAATTTTAAGTGGTTAGTTGGACACCATTTTGAGGTCACAGGGTCAATGGTCACCCAAAAACGTTGAAGATCACACGAAAAACAGCACCAGCATCAGCAAATGTGAATCCACCAGAACCATGTAAGAAAACAGAGAAAGAAAAAAGAAACACAAAAAAAAGAAAAAAAAGAAAAAAAGGAAAGTTAGCAAGTGAGTCTAAGGGCTGATATTTCACCTTTTAAAGAGTTAAAAGAAAAGAAGTTAAGAAAAGAAAAATATGTATTTTCTTCTATTTTTATTATGACTATAGGTAAAGAACAAAAATGATCCCATGTACCTCTATAGGATTTAGAGTTCTGGGATGCTAAAAAGCAACATTTTTCATAACAGCCACAGGCTGACCATTACAGACAAACAGAACTATGAGGGGAGATGTGGCTGACCTCCCAATACAAAGAAGATTCAATCTTTAAGTCTGTATCAGAGTACCTCCAGGTATTCAGACAACACAGGCAACAGAATTTTAAAATGACCTACCAACACTAGTATTTCCTAGGGTTTTAATGTCACTGATGCTATGTATAAAATATAAGTTGACTGACTCTTTTCTTTTCTAGACACGCTGGCTGAAAATAAAAGGCTGTCCGTATAAATAAAAATATTCTCATTAGCCAGATTACAGACATTGGATAAAACACCTGAATGAACATCAGGTTAGAAAACTAATAGCTTAGACCAGTCTTAGTCATTCCCCTGTTCCCCCAGCTACACCTGACTTACCATGGCTCCCTGTTAAGGTCCCAGACCCATTCCTTTCATCAGACTCTGTTTTTAATCCAGTCACTGGAAAGGCTGGTGGAGGCATCAACTGCCTTTTGAAAGACAAAAGGAAAATTTCTTTCAGACACATTCAATTTTTAATTTATACAGTATATAAGTGGAATAAAAGTCTGCAGATAATCCTTCAAGTTCATTTTAACCATTTATTTCTTTAACTCTTTCCACTTTTGTCCCTACCCCCTTCAAACTATTATCAAATAGCATACATTATCAAGTATGAGGCCCATCCTCATAGCAATGCCATGCCAAAAATAGAACAAACTGTTGTAGGAAGAACCTAGCTCCCTCTTATGAAGGCTAATATAATAACATTGAAAAATAGCTTGAATGTGTAACACTTCTGTTACTGCCTACCCTTAGGAAAATGGTCAAGATGCAGACCATAAAGTAAAGGAAGATGTTTGAATAAGTAATTATGCAAAGCGGAGTATAACTGCTTCTAGGATTGTGAAAGGTGTAATATATTTTCCATTACTGTGTCAATTACAACAAACAGGAGCTTATTTGATTCAAAGACTTCATTTCAGTTTCAGAATACCGAACCTCAAAGCAATGATTACTCTCATGAATAGTGGAAACAAATGACATCTGAATATACTCATATAATTGTCAAAAATAACTTACCTGTCCCTCTCTCGCTCTTTGCCTGAGGAACTTGCCGGCTTCGATCCTGCACCTTCAATCTCATTCTGACTGGAGAAGCCTGTACCTAAATTAGTCATATGAATGGGTCCATGCTATGAGCAGAAAAATACAGTGGCATTAGCAAATCTACAACTGCTGTATTGACTTTAGCTCCTTAATGTAACTGTCAAGTGCCTCATCTTTCTGATAAATTGCAATAAATTAAACTGTACTACCTAGCTTTTTGGGATCTGCAGTATAACTGTAGTCAAAAGTAGGTTTTTGTGTTTTTCTCTGTAGGACTTGGTCAGAGATTTTAATTCATTTTGCTATGTCCGCCTGTTTTCAACTGACTAACCACAGCTCAAATGGTTTATATAACCAAGTTATAAACTGTAAAAATGCTATGGTTTAGAGAATGCTTCCAGGATTCTGGCAAATTGTAAAGCTGTTTCTCCTGATCAAATTTCACCAAAATTACAACTTCTAATAATCTTTTAACTTTAGTAAATGACTATGTTTACAATTATGTGTATTCACAGAATCATTCCATTTCTAGCAGTCTTGGGGGGAGGGCTAGAGAAAGAAATCACCTTTGCTAAAAAGTGATTAGCAAATTGAAAACCATTATTTTAAATACAAACCACATATTGGTAGTTTGACAGCTTTGGCTGAGATGTGTAGGGGAGTAAGAGGTATCAGAGGAGGTTTTCCAAGAGTCTGTTGAATAGGATAAAAAAAACCCAACCTAAATGGGTTCCATAAAGCAGAAATCCTAGTACTGGGAGGACAGTTGATACAGATGTGAATTTATCTTTCTTTAAAGGGAGAATATAATAGGAGAATAAGATGAGGAAATGAAGAAAAGATATTTTATTTAACCTGATATCCAAGAAGTCCAGATTCCCGTTCATCTGGTAGCTCCTCTGTGAATCGCCTCTTCTGGGCCTGGGGCTGAGTTGGAAGTGGGGGCTGGGGCTGGGGCTGGGGGCCAGCAGGCAAGGCAGTTTTGACAGGAGCAGCGGGAATAAAAGGACCACTCATCGGACTCTGGGACCAAAACAAACCAAGGAAGAAAAAGTGTGAGAATGCCCAATGAGTAAGTAAACAATGATTATGAAATACTTTAATGATCAATATATATCATATGACTCTTTCATCTTCAGGTCCTTAGTTTCCTTCATGTGTAATTTGATAACAGTATCACCTAGCCTTCCCATCTTCATCCTAGGGAAATATTAAATTGACTCTATATACAGTGCTTTGAACCCTCAGGAAAAAATCTGTTGAGCATTAGGGCTATTAAGAGCAAACAAAACAATAAAAACTCCAACCACTCACTTATAGTTCAGAAGTCATCAAGCAAGAGCTTTCTCTTATTTAAAGCCCTGTAATCAATGTAATTCATTCTTTCTGTATCATAAATACTGTTAATGCTGTGGCAGAGGCAACTTCTTCTACCACTTTTACAGTTATTAGTATTTTGCTATGTCAACAGTCTAATGTTTGAAGATGTTCTTCCAAAAAAGAATAAAGGGTGATCAAAAGACAGTATGTACCAGAGAAAAATAACCAAATCTAAAAGGAAAACGCTATTATTATTACAGTCATGCATTGCTTAACGACAGGGATACATTCTGAGAAATGCAGCATGAGGCAATTTCGCC